TTCTGTCTGCTTTTTATAGTTTTGAGTTATACATAATAACATTTCCTCTGTCAAGGGAAAACAATAGCTGTTAACATTATGAGAACTAATTTTCTTTATACTATGACTTTGGGCAGTGCCAGCCTACCTTAGGCAGAAACTAGCCAACCTGAGTGAATCTCATGTTGAAAACCCCAAAGATGGGAAAGGGAGAATGAAGTGTGTATGTCTATGATTGATATAATATACAAGTAGTGTGTTGCCTTAGTGTCTTTATTTGATTATCAAAATGAAGAGCCATTGATGATTTTTTGGACCATATGTGTTTCTGTGCAGAAGGCAGGATACTCAGTGGGAAATCAGAAGATACAATTGGAATCCTCACACATCTCTGTCTTTGCTCATGGTCATGGCCAGTGTGCTCAGATGGCTCTAAGCCTTTGTTTCTTGTCAGAAAATGAAGGCAGAAGTGGGGTGCTGTCAACAATTTCTTTCTCAGAGGGCTGGGTGATAGAGGCTAACATCTCTGAGCACAGTGCCTGGCTTACATTCGGTCCTTAGCAAATGATGCCTGAGCAGCAACACAGTGGGATTCTGCATGCCACACGTGAGATTTGGAGGCAGATTGGCTGGTAGGCTTAGGTGAAGAAATTAGACATGTCCATGTTCACATAGCATGATTCATGTCTACTCGGCTGTTGTGGCTGCTGCTTTCCTGTAACCAATTTTAGAGCCCATCTTGGCAGCTGGAAATATTTGGGATTAATTTCACACTCACTTTATGACTTGAGTGTTTTCCTGAAAGCAGCTCCTTGGGCCTCTGCCTCATTACTTTGGCATCAACTGATAGGGCCATTGGACAGAGATGTCCTTTGGGGTCTCCATTTTATATGGAAACCTTCAATTTGAAGAAGCAATATAAAGGCCATCAACACATCGTCCTTGAAATTGTTAGCATTTATTATTTCCTATAACCTTTGCCTTTTGTAGTTCTGTTGAACACCAGGGAACACACAGCGTGCTCAGTGATGAGCCCTGAACAAAATCACTCTCCCTCAAATACAAGTCCGAGTAGCTCCAGGTGAGCTGGGAGATCTTTTGGGGTCCTGGTCACTCAGGTCTGAATCTTGATGGGTCTAGTTTTTCCAGATCTTTTTACTATACAAATTCTGCTTAATTCATTTGGCTCTCATGGAGAACAAAGTAAACTTGGCTGTTATGTGTAACTAAATTGAGAACATGGAGATCTGTTTAGTATTTCATGCTGGCTAGTAGGTCAAGAAGATTTTCCTTGGGGGTAATTTACATAAGGAATTGTTTATCCCATTTCTTTCCAATTTCTGTGATCATTTGGGGATAGCATACTGTTTCCACAATGGCAGAGAAATCTATCCAATGAGACTGAAACTTGGAGAGACAGTGCTTCTACCAGATTGATGTATTTTGGGTCTTGCTCAGGAAAGAGCCTGTGGCTCAGGCTGCTATCTGAGTCGTTCTTCCACCACAGCTGTGTTTAGCACGTTGGGTGGGGCCATGAACTGACATGCTGCTACACTTAGTGAGAATTTTCCCTTGATACTTAGGAACATGCATAAAAGCTTCACTGAAGTCCCAGCAAGTGTCCCAAACATTTGTTATGCCTGATGGCACTTCACTGAGTAACAGCCCCAGTGCCTACAGAGTAAGCGCCTGCCCTTCAGCTGAACATTCTGGATCTTCTACAGTGGTTACCCATTTAACAGCCTCTTTATTTTCTTGTTATCCTTCCAAGCTGGCCCTCCTCAAACAGGCAGCCTTTACTTTTCTGCTTTGTCGGAGTTGTTTCTTTCCCTTTTAAAGCACCCCTCCCCAGTACCTCTGCCTTAGGAGACCTCTCTTTTCAGTGCGTGCTGGTAATGTTTAGCAACAGATCCTTGTGAGGAGGGGAGAGGGAGCCTGACTCTAACATTCATTAATTTCTGTGTTGTAAATACATCCAGTGGGTGATTTCTAGATGTCAGTGTGAGGTCTCTGCATGCAGAATTGGAAGAAATAGGCAGCAGTTTACCATTATAAGGTGTTAACCAAACACAGACATAATAGACCTAGATAACCTCAAGGCCTACACAATAGAAGGAAGCAGTGAGTTTTGGAGTCCTTACTGCCTTTGTCTTTTATGTAATTTTATTTATTTTAAAGTTCATGTAATCTAATTTTTAGGGAAAGCCATATGAAATTACTGGCTTGCAAAAGTCCTGAAAATTGCACAATTGGTTCTTTCTTATGAGCTGGGAGGGGCTTTCTGAGCCAAGTCCAGTGTGCCCCTGCTTCTCACCCCCAGCTTCCCTTTCCTAAAGCCTTTCATGCCCAGCTGGGGCTGGGCATCCATCTCTGAACCTACAAAGTGCCTACAGCCTCAAGCAGGTTGGGGTGAGACAGACTGAATCCTGTTTTTCTCATTTACTGGATAGGTATACAGTCAGACTGGCTGCTTAATTTGAAGATCCCAACATAAAGTAAAAATGATGGATCCTTGTTAAAAAGGCAGGAAGAAAGGGGTGTTAAAACAGCTACTAAAATAGAAAACCTTTTCCTTTCCCAGTGCTCTCCCTTTCACAGTTTCCAACCATTTAAAATTTTTTCTATTTATAGCTTTTCAAGTAAGGAAAAAATTTAAATTTTAAATTAGCACCAATTTTACCAATAATCTTCATACTGTTAATGACAATTTTAAATGCAAGTATAAGAGCATTCAACTCATATATGCAAATCCACCTGTTTCCTCTGCTGTGTGCATGCCTCATTGGCTGATGGCTTCAAGTAAGAAACACAACTTCAAATACAAAATGATTAAGAATTTCAGACAGAGACAGCAGCACATTGAACAGAGCATGGGGCCCTTCGCAGCATGTACACAGTTAACACATATTGTGTAAAGTACTGTGAAAATTCCTCATATTTGCTGAGTCTGAGTACTCACCTGTAAAAAAGAAATGATTTCAACTAGGTCACAGAGATGTGAGTTGTGAAGACACCGCATGCTGCAGAGCGAATTCATACGGTATCTGCTTAGTTAATTGGAAGGTTTGTCTTTAACAATCATGACATCAAAGCTCTTTTCCTTGGAGGCATCTACAGGACCTCCTTTGTATGGTCAGCATTTGCTACTGTGACTCTTTTCCTTTCTCTAGTAAGAACTCTTTAAAGGTAGAGATTGGGTCTATAGTGCTTTCTGTAAACTCCTGCATATACATGGTACTCAGTAGGTGTTTATGACCCCAATCTTTGTATGAATTAGACTTTTTGACGATAAGCATCTGTGTCAATATCATGGCCCCACAATGAGGCTTAATTGTTAACATTCACAGGAAGAAAAAGAGTATGATTTTAGACTTTAACAGGAGTCAGTTGTGATCATGTGAGAGTGCATATGATTCCAGGTGTTTTGACTTAAGCAAAGTGGCCTCTCCCTTTTCTGGGGACTTCTTGAAGTAATGGGGAAGGGATGCATTCCAAGCCCCATTTGAGTAAAAGAGGCCCCAGGGATATTAACTTTGGTTCATAGTAATCCGTCCCTTTGCAGGCTTCTTTCACACTTTCTTTTCTGCACAATTAGGACATTATTATAGCAATGCTTCTTCCCACTAATTGGTTGTGTCTATGTTTTCTTTCCAACAAATTGTGAGATCCTGTGGGCTATGGGCTCTCATCTGCTTCTTTTGAATGCCAATGGAAAGCACTGTCCTAGGTACAAAGTAAGCAATGTACTTTATGTGATACTGGGTTAGATGCCCATGGCTCCCTAGAGAGCTGACTGAACTGTAACTGTGTTTTGTAACTCCTGTAAGACCTTGACCACATAATATGAATCCTGGTGTACATAGAATTTTCAGGTAAAGACCTTCAGTTGTGCTATCTTTCCCTAACTTATATATCTTTCCCAGTGTCTCCTAGATACTCTGAGGACAGTCCCTGTTCTGTCCTTCTCCTCACATGGAATTTGAGAGACCACACAGCTATAGACTCTATTTGTTTCAATGATGATATTTTAACAACTCCTTTGGGCCAGTGTCAATAAGCCATGAAATATCACCAAATGGATCATCTATACCAGACTTCTGAATCCCATCCCAGTCCTCAAGCTGGTGGGGACTTAGAGAAGGAGCTTACTGCTCCAGCTTTAGCTCTTCTGGTTCTGGGGACTACAGACGCCTTGAGCCTCTGGGGCAGTCAGTTCATTACTTTTAATGAGCACAAAATTCACCAAGACATTAAAATAAAATAGAATCAAACACCAATGGGCAGTCATGGATGGTCCCTCCATTTGCTGCTTTAGTTCCTTTTTCCACAGGATTATTCAAGAGAAAAATTTTAAAGGCAAATTCTGCTACTTCTGCCAATTTTTATCTGAAGTAGATTTGGCATTACAAACCTAACACATCTTGAGCATTTAAAAAAGTTTCATTCCACTGTGGGTTAGTGTCAGACATCTATGTTAAAAATAACAATCTCAACTGGTCAAATATTTGAGCATTATTTGACTTTTGTATATATTAAAGAAATATTGGGATCTCTTAATACCATGTAACATACAAAGACAAACATCAAAAGATGACAGTTATCTTTTGAAAAACTATAATGAATTTCTTTAATATACAAGGCAAAGGTGGTTATTTTGATAGTATTTTAATCGATCTCAATGGCTAATAATAAAGACTAATATTGTTACTAAGATTGCTTATATCACCACATTTTGAAGGAGGTCATTTGATGGTGAAGCATCACTGAATGATGTCCCTATTACTGTGACTTTGTAGATGTTTTCATCCCTGACCATATGGATCTGGAATTACTTTGGATATTTTTTCAAAGAAGGAAGTGAACAGATGAATGATAACTCTTTGATTACTCAGCGTGGCTTCTGCTTGTAGAAGAACAAATTCATCAAGTTGTTTTAAAGAAAAACAAGTGTGCCAAATGTAATTTGTTGAAGGCTCAAGAGTTGTGAACTTATCCCTGACTGAATTTTGTAATTTCTTCAGGTAATCGCTCTAGCAGAGGCAGTTGAGGAAAACCAACACAGTCTGTTCCAGTCGTTTGCCAGGCTGAAGAGTGCCACCCACCTGATGATTCTGCTGATCAGGCTGTGGCAGAAGCTGAGTGCTGAGCAGACCGCTATTCTGGAAGCAGCATTTCTGCCACTGCAGGAAGATACGCAGGAACTGGTAAGGACCTGCAGGCCTGCAGCAGGAGCAGTCTGACAGTCAGTGTGCTTGAGGATTAGGTTTCGGGAGGTGTCACATGGCCCTCTGTGCCTCTTAAGGTGTCAAATGAGGGCTTGAGATTTTACAAAAATGCTGCCTTTTCTTTAAACCATAATGAAAGTGTCATATGAAGGCATTTTTTTTCCTTGAGCTGTTTAAAAATAGGTATATTGTTCATTTTTATGTGGCATCCAGTCTACTTTTTATGTGCCCTTTAATCACTTAGAAGCCAGAGAAAGAGTCATTTGATGGTCTGAGCAATGGCAGTAAACCTTTCAGATTAGCTAATCCTTTCCTTGTCCGCCAGAGAAAACACTTCAGCCATTTTAATTTGTTCAGTGTCCTTAAATTTTAATGGTACTTCAAAGGTTGGAGGGAGCTGAGATAGTCTTGCTGAAAATGACAGGAACAATTCCTTACATTTATAGAGTTCTTACAGTAGTTCATAAAGTCCTTCACCCTTGACCTTAGAAGAGGCAACTCAGAATGAAGAGGAGAAAAATGAGGGTGGAAGTTGGATTTATTAATCAAAGAATTCCTTCAATAAAAACACGTTGAATCACTTGACTTACAAAAGCATATAGGACCAGTAGGTGACATTCTGGCTGGCCTTTTGTGTGCTTTTATTTATGGTGAAATGATATATATCTTGCAAACTACAGATGCTTAAGCATAGTTTTTTATAATGATTATTTCAAGGGAAAAATGATTTCAAGTCCAGTTTTCAACCTAGATATAAGAAAATGGTTATGAAAATAATAGTACTGAAAATGACATTTTTAAAACTGTCTGTTAGGCACTATTTTGGTTATTTCCTAAGAAATATATCATTTAATCTTAGACTTGCCCCTGTGAGAGTGAAGGCATGGAAAGTTTTAGGCTTCCACAATGAAATGCTTTTCTAAAAGTGGTGGCAGTAGAGCCAGAATTTGGACTCAGGTCCATCTGCTCCCACACTATATGCCTCATCCTGGAATGTGGGAAACCACTTGAAGGAAACCTCTGAAGAGATCACGAAGGGTTAGCAGTCATTACTAGAAGTGGTTTGACTAAAGTTACCACCTTCTCATGGCAATTCGTCCATTTCTTGCCATACTCGAGGGCAAGAATCTTATCTTAGTCCTTTTTGAATCCTCAGGACTGGTACGAAGCCTGAACTCAGCATAGTGACTATTTATTCAGTGGACCAATGGAGAGAACGGAGACAGCCGACATGGCAGCTTGGCAGAGCAGGTGCAGTGTGAAGTCAGTCTGTTGAAAGAGGAAGCAGGACAGGGCCACTGTGGAATTTGTAGAGCCCAGTGCAAAGGATAACACATACCCCTTGTTCAAAAAGTAGGGAAAACAAAGTTGATACATTGCTAAAACAGGCAGAGTAGGGCCAGCTAGATGGCTCAGCATATAAAGGCGGGTGCTACACAAGCCTGATGACCTGAGTTTGATCTCCAGAGCCCATGTAATGGTGAATGGAGAGAGGTGATTCCACAAAGTTGTCCTTTGACCTCCACATGTGTACTGTGGCATCTCCATTGTCATGCACTACACACAGTAATAATAAATTAAAAAATTTAAAGGCATGGTAGTCCTTCCTTTAGACTTACTTTCAGTTCTTTTTCTGTTATCCCTATTCAACTGTAGACCAAAAATATGAATATTATTGACAAGAGAAAGACCACTTTAGCATAACTTTTATTATAGTATATTGTTATAATTATTTGATTTTGTTATGTTGTTACTCTCCTAGTGTGCCTAATTTATAAATTAAACCCTATCATAGGTATGTATATGTATCAGAAAAATGTATATCTAGAGTTTGGTACTATCTTAGGTTTCAGACACCCGTTGTGGGTTTGAATATCAGGGTGGGAGAAAGGTGCTGTAAACAAAGATTTTCTTCCTTTCTTTCTTCAATCTCTTTTAACTTGTACTGTATTTCTCTCTTTTTTTTGCCATTTCATGTTTTTCTTTTTTTTTTTTTTATGTGTATGAGTGTATTGCCTGCATGTGTGTGAGTGTACCCATGTCGTGCAATGCCACGGAGGTCAGAAGAGGGCTTTGGATTCCCCTGGAACTGGAGTTAAGGATGGTTTGTAGCCACCATATGGATGCTGGGATCGAACCCAGGTCCTCTGCAAGAGCAGTCAGTGCTCTTAACCGCTGAGCCATCTCTCTAGCCCCTCATGTTTTCCTAAGTAAAGAAAATTGAAAATTTAAATAGGATAAACTTTAATACTGATTTTATAATGTGTAATGCCACTTTTTTTTTACATTGTGTGTGTGTGTGTGTGTGTGTGTGTGTGTGTGTGCATGTGTACACACATTCTACAGGGTGTGTGGAAGTCAGAGGACAGCTTGCTGGAGTTGGTTCTCTCTCTGCCATATGGGTCCTGGGGATCATATTCAGGTTGTCAGGCTTGGCAGCAAGCACCTTTACACACTGAGCCATTTCAGTAGCCCTTGCAATGCCACGATGCTATGAAAAATGAGAGCATTTGCTCACACAGGATGAATGAAATGCTAACTTGTATTTTGTGGTTTACTCACAGACATATTTTTTTCTTACTGAACTGTGCTGTGTGCTTTTTCACCTTGCACCAACACTGCCAGCTCAGCCTTCAGCATACTGAGGAGGAAGGGCTGACAGAAAAGGAACTGTATGCTGCTCTGTTCCCTTTCCTTCCGTGTGATCCTTTTTAGTAAGTGATTTGATAGTGCAAGGAGGAAACAGGAGTAGGAAGAGAGTGGGCGTCTCTGGTCATCCATGTTTCTTTGGATGCTGCAATTTCTCATCCAGACAGCATTCTGGTTGGAACAGAAAGCACAGGGCTGTCAGGGTGCTCCGTCAGTCCAGACATGTACTTTCTTACTTGCAATGTGTCCCCCTCATCCCGGGTCTTGAGGGTTCTGAGCTTATTGGACTGTATCTAAATAGACAGAGAGGAAAAAGACAGCACGGATACTGTACCTGTCTTTTCACATTCATGTGCTTTATTGCCCCATCAAACTTTTCTTAGAAAACAACTCAAAGACAAAATTATTAAGAATTTCAAGATGGTAACAACAAAACCAGGCAGGAGGCTTGTGAACAAGGGAACCTGGCCAACTGCACGCCTCCCCTCAGGAAGCTGTGCCTGAAGCATGAAAGAACTTCCTGGAAAGAAAAGTTTTGAATGTAGGAATGAAATCCCCAAGAGAGACTGGGCTAGGTCTTCTCTGGAAATCATAAAGGATAGCCTAACCGGGGTATGGAGAGTCTTCAGCTCGTCGGCAGGTGAAACAACTTCATCTCTTCTTGGAGCCCTATCTTGCCTACCTGTATGCCCTCTGCTCTCTTACATCCCAAAACTCGCAGAGGAAATTTCTTCCAACTCTCTTCTGAATGTGGGAGGATCAGAAGGTGTGCACATCTGTTATGTCTACTGAAGTCATTAATGAGACAGGACATTTGATAAAAACATAAGTTGGAGAAAAATGAACAAAAAGGTGTTCATATTGCTTGTAATGCTCTTCATGTTTAATTAGGTTGTAGTGTTCACTTCAGACTTATAGTGTTGAGACAGCTTTTATGTCTTAAGAAGAAGGGCGTCCCTTTATGTTCTTTAAGACACACACATACAGCATGTGGTTTTGACATCCTAGTTGACAGTCTCCCACACCATGCCTTTAGACCTTACAAATAAGTGTTATATGATGGGCGTCCCACTGAGATGTGAAAATGAAATGTGCAATCCTGAAATAACTTGGAAGGAGGGTGAGACAGGGAAGAAAGGAGTCTCTCACCAGAATGCTGAAAATAGATCCCATATTGGAGTTATTATGATACCACAAAAAATCTGCATGTAATTTAGATGGTTTGGTTGAGGGCAGATAGCAGAGTACATGTGTGAGGGAGAGAACTTTGACATGTGGACAACATTTTCAGAAGACACTGTCAGCTCAAGGTCAGATGTCCCTGCAGTATCGAGATGGAGAGGTGAAAGGAAATGCTTAGAAGAGATTTTATGTGTTTCAAATAGATCTGCATAATGACTTGTGTTGTTATTTAGATGGAATGTGCCAACAGGCGGGCTAAATGAAATAGAAAACTCTAGAGTATTTTCTTTCAAATGGTATTAGGTTCATAAAGCAAAAATATTTAGAATTTACTAGTCCTAATGAAAAGTAATGTTCTTTGCACTACATTATCAACATTTTGTTTAAAATACAATTGCATTTAGAATATAACTCATCACCATTTTCTTTGACCTATCTCTCTAGTAATAATTTTCCTTTTTTGTCACTTCTCAGTAGAATGTTGGGGCAAATAAATTCTGGTATTATAGACTATTATATGACTTTTTTCATTATTTGGAGAATATTAGATTCTGCAGATAAAAAAGCCCATGTAGAGAAGACCTTATATATTTAATAAAGTGAGTTACCCCTGTACGAATGATAAGATACATAGATAAGACCTTATATATTTAATATAGTGGGTTACCCCATACAAATGGAAAAAAAATTAAGTTTAATGAAGTTTAACGTTTCTAGACCAACATGACTGTTAAGTTCTGTATATATGAATTTTTTTTTGGTCTTTTTTGAGACAGGGTCTCCCTGTAGCCCCCGCTGGCCTGGAACTCACTATGTAGACCAGGCTGGCCTTGAACTCAGAGATCCGCCTGCTTCGATTGGGATCAAAGGCATGCATCACCAAGCCTGGCATATATGACATTTTTAAAGTGCTAAAACTTACATGAGCCAGACATGCTTGGTGGAGATACCTTTTCCCCCTAAGAAAAGTATTAAAGGTTTTATTTCATCTTTAAAAAAGGCTCCTAAAGATACTTCCATTAATGGACTTGCTAATCTAAAATTTTCACTAATGCCTTCCTATAAGGATGCATTCCAAAACAGTATTTTATCACAGGATGTCGGTGTGTGTGTGTGTGTGTGTGTGTGTGTGTGTACACATACATGCT